CGTCTTCTAACCTTTGATTCTATTATTTGGTTGGCTTACTTATGCTTGTCCTACATGCATGTGAGTCAAAGTGATGCATACGGGAGAGCGGATGTGGTCACAACTTTTGTCTATGTAAATAAACTAGTTTCCTACATTCATTCCTCTTATTATTTGTTTTGTTAATTTCAATCTACTCAGATCTTTCGCTACGCTTTAAAGTCCGAAGTCTGAAGTTGTTATTTTGACCACTATCTGGTGTCTTGTTGCGACCACATGTTCAGTCACTTCCGATTGCTGAATCCATCTATATATATAACTCCAATAGCGAATATATATATATAATTAATACTATAATACTGCAAATGTCCAGCAGTCAAATATAATGGCAATTTATGTAACAGCGAAGCTGTTTTGTGCAAATTTAAAATTATAATATTTTTTTCAAACTTCTGCCTTAGATCGAAAATATTAGTCAGCTTGATAATAAGCCTGTGTCTCTAGAGCCCATGGGTACTCGTCGTCGTGTCGTGATGATTGCCTTTGTCGGTGGAGTTACACATGCAGAGATTTCTGCCATCAGAACTCTGGCTATTTTAGAGGCGGGTGAGTTGTTCTCATACCAGCATTGTCTCCTTTGTATATTGACTTCTCTAAAACTTTGGTATAAATCTCTATGCTTAGTCCAGCTTAGATTACGAAGAATTTACGAACCGGAAGTGAATTCGGTGGTATCTAATTCCTTACATAAATAAATAAACTAGTGTACAACCTCCTAGCATTTACTTATGTTTAGGTATGTGCTACTGTTTAATTATCCATATCCTGAGAGGTGTTATAGTCTTGGCTTGACTCGAGGCCAATTCAGCTTCCTCTTGCTCAATGGCTCTTCCTGCTCCTCTCTCTCTTCCTCTCATTAAGTTTGTCTGACCTACTATTCTTTTGGTTTAAAATATTTTTGCTCTATTACGTAACGTATGAATTCTTGTTCTGATGATGCTTGTCAAAGTAAAGAGGAAAGCTTAGAACAAGTTCATCAGATTCGCAAGACATTTAGCCGGGAATTTCTTCGCTACGCGGCAATCCTCCGTGAAACCATATTACGATTTCCTTCAACCGATCTTTGCCTTGTTATTGAAAAGTCATGTCACTAAATATATAGGCTCAATAACTTACAATTTCTTAGATAAAGTAATTCCATAGACAGCTTAATTTTCTCACTTTTATTTTTAGGAAATTTGGAATTTATCATTGCGACAACTGGAATTCTTACTTATCGTGATGTCTGGAATTCCTTTTCGGAACCGATTTCCCCATCAAAAATTATACCTTTTTAAGCATAATACAATATGATTTCATGCGTTATACAAATGTACTTTTTCTAATCGATTTTATCTTTGATAGTCAATAATCATATTATTTAATCTTATTACCTTTTTTGGGGACCTACATATAATTTATAACTTTTATGATTTCCTAAAAAAGATGGTGAAAACAACTTTTTACGAATAAAACTTTATTTCCTGACTATTGCTCTTTTGTTACCCCTCTTCCAATACCAATTTATTCATGAAAAATACGTTTCTCTTGACGGGCCGCGAGCTAAATTTGGTTTTTACTTATTATTTAACTAATTTTATTATTATTATCCATTTCAAAATATTGCTTTTGACCATCTTAGCCGACTACAAACAAAAACTTAGGAAATTTTAGAATGCTCGATCTTAGACATCCTAAAACAAATATAATAAGCATTTTTTGTTCGGTTTTAGCTGTTGAAATAATGAGAATACCTACTTTAAACTCCTCTGTCTTCATTTTGCTTATCTGTTATGGTAACTCTCATTGGCTCTTTCTTATCATACTTTTTGCATACTCGCTTTTAACTATCCAATTATCCTTTATGAATATAATCTTTATCGCTACTTTGGTTGCGTAGGTTCTCACCTAGCCAGATTTCGAAAGTCCCCACAATATTATACTAAAAATACATTCCCTTATATATAAAAGTCCTTTGACAAAACAATGGTCGCTCCTAGAATTTCGTCCGGCTCCCTAAAAGTGCACTGAGCACTTTCTGGACGGCAAGTTGAATGAATAGTAATTGCTAATCAGACACAGGAAAATTTATTGGGTGTTGACGCAACTACTTCAGTTGAAAGTTCTGTTGTAATTACTTGAAGCCAAAATTACCGATCTTTGTTAATTGAGTATTGCAAATGGATCAAACCTGGCTTGACTAACGCGTGACTAAGATAAGAACAGTCTCACGTTTTTTTGTGCAATCTACGAATGTGAATTCTCATGAATAGCCTAATAAAGTATCTATGATTAAAATCTTGCCTACTATTCGCATATAACTTCTCAAAAATAAGACGTGATTAATAGTTATTACTAATCCATCCTCAAATAGTTAATGCAAAATTATTATTAATACTGGACTATTCATTTTTTATTTAAGAACAATTATAGCTTGAGAATGCCAAAGCAGGTAAAATCACTCGAAGTCATATATTGCAAAAATATCTTGAGCCTTAACTCACGGATTTAGCTAAGAATCTCAGCTTAGGTCTGCTGAGCGAGATTAAACCAATTCCCTATCACCGCTCCTACTTAATGCTTTAAGTTTATAATGTGAACAAACAAAGGGCGATATTTCTTTTACACGTTAAGCGCCGTAGATTGCATTTTTTTAAAGTTTTTGTGGATCACTTCCATTTATTCCCCAAGGATTAGCGCTTAGAGTAAGTACCCAATTTTTCGACAGCCTTACATCGCCTCACTAAGTGCAGTTGTTTGCAGAGATACATCTGAATACCATCAGGGTTTTAGTACTTTCTTTCATTATGAACTATTGACTTGTTATGCTACAGCAAGAAATAGCTTGCGCCTATGTTATATCCATTGCATTGGTGATATTATCTGACATTATAAGTGACGAAACAAGAAACAGTCTTTAGGTAGTTGCTAACATAACAATCCAATTTCACTAAAGGATACATTTTCACCTCACTTATTATATAGTCTTGAAAGTGTAACGAGAATAGTTTAGATAGGAAGAGAAAGTTGGTTTTGATGAATCTCCTGAGATTGTTAAGGGGACCTTCATTTCAGATAAAAGTGCATTAAGCAGAGATTCGTTGGTCGATATCACTAGATGAGGACGGATGAACCTCGTTGTACTGCAGCCGTTTGGATTTTATACGATATTCATGTTGACGCAGTCCACGGGACTTC